TTTCATCGTTAGTTAATACTAGAGAAGTACGGCATTAAATTTCTGGAGTGCAGATCAAAAGAGCTTTAAGGAATTAAAGTCGCTAGTCGCTCTAAAAGTCGATTAATTTGTCTGAAATTAAATCGCGGTGGATGAATGTTCGAGCTCAGTGGCGCTGCTTTCAATCATAAGTCAATTTCTGCGAGTATAACACTTGATACTTTTTAGAGATATGTCTTTGTATCAACCGTATAATAAGGGATCGTTTTTGCCAAACGTAAATACGAGATTATCGTAAATTTTACTACTCCATAGAAAAAAAAAACTACTTTTTGGACAATGATTAGTTTAGAGCACTCAATATAACCAAATATATTTTCCTCAAGGCACCGCGTCACAGTGTTGCCATATTTTTTTGTAAAATATGTATATGAATTTTTAAAATATAAAGTTCCTTTTATGAAATTATAATTTGTGTTATGGGAAGCTACATTTTGTATAATTTTTTGAATAAGTTTTGAATTGGGTTTTGAATAAGTATAAAAGAGCATTCATACATAATTTCTGTTACTTTAAATGCAGTTAAATATTGTAAATTATTTGATAGCACTTTCCACATCTTGTCTATTAGGACTTTCTTAATATTAGGTGCGAATGGTCATTTCTCACAAAGTGATTTAAAAATTGCACTTACAAATTTTATTTTTATTATTTTTTTTTTATTGAGGTAATGCCTCGACAACTATGATCATTGGCATCGTACAGTCAGGTACCTAGTGTAGTGTGTTGTGTGTGTGTGTGTGTGTGTGTGTGTGTGTGTGTGTGTGTGTGTGTGTGTGTGTGTGTGTGTGTGTGTGTGGTGTGTGTGTGTGTGTGTGTGTGTGTGTGTGTGTGTGTGTGTGTGTGTGTGTGTGTGTGTGTGTGTAGAGTAATTGTCTTGATACTTAGCAAAGTCGACGTCATTGTCTTTGCTAAGAGACGCTAATTGTATCCGAACGTCTGCGGTCCCTCTGGTGAGTACCGATCGCACAAGGATAGAAATTATTTTCATTCATTAATTTTTAATAAACGAAAATCTCCACCCAGGTGAGATTCGAACTTACGACCTTTAGGTTTAAAGGTAGGCGCTCTTACCACTGAGTCACAGAGGGGTTCTCTTTATTAATTAAAATCTATGAATTTTTATATAATTTCAATGCATTTCTCTTATATATGGTAATTTAATTAATACTATTAATTTTTTATATCATTTTAATAAATTTTATTGTATATGCATTTAATCATTACCTTTAATTTAATTAAAATCTATGAATTTTTATATAATCTTAATGCATTTCTATAATATTATGTGATAGTATGAAAAAACTCAACATACGGCAACTCTGACACCATTTCAGCTTACGTTAAATGTCAAATATAAGTTTGGTTATGATGGGTGCCCCAAACTATCATTGTCCCGTTTTTTTTTATTTTAATTTATTTCCCGTTATATTTCCCGTTATCCCGTTTTTGATTTTTTATTTTAAATTTTTTATTGATTATATAGAAAAATGCATATAGAAATATACGGTAAAGAGACAAGAGTGATACTCGGAGTATATGCACCAACGATTTCCCGAGAGTAGCAAAAGAAAATTTCACCTAACAACAATAAATAGAGATAATCAAGAAGAAGATGGAGATAATTATAACAGGAGACCTTAACGGCAGAACCGGAAGGAAAGAAAGCGATAAAGTAGTGGGGAGATTTGGAAAGGATGAACAAAATGATAACGAAACACATCTGATTGAATTATGCGAACTAAACAACCTAAAAATCACCAACAGATTCTTCAGACATAAAAATATTCATAAATATACATGGACCCAAAAAACACAAAAGCTGAAATCAATAATAGACTACTTAATAGTCAAACGATTAAATAAAGATTAAAAGATGTGAGAGTCAGAAGAGAAGTAGAATGTGGAACTGATCATAAACTACTGACAGCAAAAATGAGCATTAATTGGAAACATATCCAGACTCTCTATACAGAAGAACCGTTAAACACTAAAAGAAAAAAACAATACAATATAAAACTACTCTAAGAACAATCAATAAGAGAACTATACAAGTTACGTCTAGTCCAAAAATTAATAGAATTTAGATGCGGCAACATCGATGAAATAAACGAGCATGTAAAGTTCAGTATAAAACAAGCAGAATTCAAAGCCCTTGGAGAGAAAGAGCATATATAACAAATAAACAGCACTAATATGAAATAAACGAACCAACAAAAAGAATAATTGAATAAAAAAAGCAACTATACAGAAAATGGCTGACTACAAACAACGATGAACTTTATAAAGAATATAGAGAAAAAGATAGAAAAGAAAAAACAAATAACACAACAAAATAATGAAGAATGAGAAAAAACCTGCTTAAATATTAAAACATTCATAGAAGGTACAAGAACTTTGAAGTCATCGAAAGTACTGAGAGGATTGAAAAAAACTCAAAAAAATTAAATTGGACAATACACAGGACAAATAATTGAAGGACTATTACAAGGAACTGTTAACAGAACAAAGACCACAATTCATTGGAAAAAAACATGAGAAGACGAAGAAGATCCCCACCACAAGAAATATAAAATATCAGATAGGAAAATAAAAAAGGGCATAAAAGAAATCAAAAATAAGAAAGCACCGGGACCTGGAGGCATCTCACCTGAGCTTATAAAGTAAGGCTCAAAAAAATTACAACCGACGATAAAATCGATATTTTAGAAGGCCATAAATGAAAAACAGCTCCCAAAGGAATGGACATATATGACATCTATATTTAAGAAAGGAAATCGAAAACGATGCAAAAACTACAGAGGAATAAGCGTAATATCATCAATACGAAGATTATAATATAGGAAGATACTGAAAAACATGATCAGGATATGATAGCAAGAGCAAGCGATAAAAGGCAAAATCGGTGAGGATCAGGCAGGTTTCACGGTAGAAAGATCATGCCTAGACCAAAAATATACATTGAAACAACTGTTGGAAAAGAAAAAAGCAAAAAATAGAGAAATACATTTGGAACCTGTGGACCTAAAAAAGGACTATGACTCTGTACTAAGGTCAGACCTATGGTAGGCAATGTACAAATTAGAAATACAGACTTAACTCATAAAAGCTACAAAAGCTCTTTAAAAGAAAATAAAGTGTCCATTAAAATGGGAACAAGAATCAAAAAAGACTTCACCACAACAAAAGGGCTCCTGCAGGGTTGTTCCACATCTCCAGCTATATTTAAAGTATACCTAGAGAAACCCTTGACTGCATGGCAAACAAAATGCGTAGGCATGGAAGTACAGGTACGAAACGAATACCTATGCCTGTACGTTAAGATTTGCAGACGATCAAGTAGTGATTGTAGAAGACCAAGAAAACCTCAGTTACATGATGAAGAAATCACAAGAAGAATATTTGAGAGGTTTCTTGGTACCTAGATATTAACCTCGCTAAAACAGAGTAACTATTTACAAGTGAAGAAGACATAGAAGATCTACATATTGACGATAACGTAACAATCAAAGGAAAGGATAAATTAAAATACTTTGGGTTTATAATTACGAAAAAAATAACAACAGAGAAAGAAATTACGCAACGATTAGGACAAACAAGAACAGCAATCCGACATCTTAACTCAGTATAGTGGGATATACACCTAAATATGAAGACAAAAACACAGATTTAAAAAATGGGGCTGAAAATTGGATTATAAACAAGAAAAACAGCAGTAAGATAGTATCAACAGAGATGGAACTCCTGCGAAGATGTTGCAGAGTAACAATAATGGACAGGGGAAGTAATGACTAAATAAAGCAAAGACCATCAATAGAAACAGACATACTAACATATTATATAAAACAAAGAAGACTAAAGTGGTATGGACAAGTAACTAACATTAAAAAGTAGTGACAGCAGATGAATAAAGAGAATAATTGAATGGAACCCCATAGGAAGGAGAAAAAGAGGACGATTCCGAAGATCTAGTTCCTGGAGAAAGTAGATAACGTCATGAGTAAGAGTAAATGATGGAGAATGGGACAACAGAGAGAGATGAAAACGGTTGAGCGAGGAAGACAGTGAATACCGTAGAATCCCTGAATATATATATATATATAAATATATATATATATATATATATATATATATATATATATATATATATATATATTATATATTATATATATATATATATATAATAATACATATAGAAAAAAAGTAGATTCTAAGATAAAAACAAAAGCATAAACTTATAAAACAAAAGATTTTATACTCATAAGTAGTAGCTCAGAATTCATTATTTAAAATGGAAATTAAAAGAAGCTTTAATGTTAGGTATTAGATTTAACTTTAAAATCATATTCTGATAAATTCTACACTTACTCTATCTTCTAGGTAAAGATTTCTTAACCAAATGTCAGCCAACTGCCCCAAATAAATTTTACATCCTATAATCATTACATAACATTTTCCGATTATGCCTACGCATGTTTTCATGAAAAATAATATTAACTATTGGTCCGTTCCATATATTCGCCTTTTATTTACAAGGCAAACAACAACTCCGCAGGGATATTTTATTTGTATTGATAAATCATAATATCCGGGGACACGGAAACGTGTTTATTTATAGGCTGGTCAAATAAAAAAATAACTTTAGGATTCAAGGACGATGACAAATGAAAAAAATTATGGATTTACTTTACATTAACCTGTAAAATCAGCCAGTTTCTGTAAACAAAAGTTTTATATAATATTGGAGTAAGATATTTAACTTAAACTGATAAAACCTTTTCAATCATCATACATTACTAATATCTTAATTTTCCAATATATACATAAATAGTTGACAAGCAGGTAAATGTATATAACACAATATTGGATCAGGAAATAAAACATTTGTTATAACAGTCAATATATTTTTATTGTATCAAAACCATAACATCCAAAGAACCAAATTTCAACAAAATAACAACTTAGTGCCCATGTCCGTGTCCACCCTCGCTTCCTTGGTTGGCCCAGTGGGTGACACCGACGTAGCTGGTAGCTCCACCGTGTCCACCGTGTCCATGACCTCCATGACCATGACCATGACCATAGTGAGCAGGATGTTGGGCATGACCTACTCTCTCAACAACGGCTTCGAACCCAGTGTGTGGTGCGGATTTGTATTTGACGACTCTGTGGGTTCCATCGGCTTCTTTGAGTGTATAGCCACCAGTGACGTGATGGCCGTGTCTGTGTTCGTGCTGGGATTTGTGGTCATGGGTGTGAGGATCATGAACTCCGTACTCAAATTTGTAATGCGCGTTATCCTGCAATGGAGACAATTTATTATATACATTAGATAGAAAATAAAATTAAAGTTATGCAGTATATAAAAAAAATCTGAAGACCAAAATTAAAGAAATAATCTTCATTTTCCCCTAATTTCCCTACTTCTCCTAATGTAAGTGCCTTAGTCGAGAAATCATCAGTCAAATTAAATATATTTCTGGTAAATTTTTCAAATTACCTTCGCAGAATTCTTCAACATAGGTTTTAGAAACCATGTCAATGTTTGTTTTTAACTTTGATATAGCAAGTAACTATATAATCTCTTCATCGTCCAAGCTTTTGTCTATCATGACCTATTTTAACATGGTTTCTTCTACTTCACTTCTCCAGGATCTTTAAAGTTGACTTCTTTTCCTTTCGTTGGTCGATTTCGTTATTTTTTTTATTCATACCAGCAGCTGGCTCTTCTTATATGTCTGTTCAATCTTGTCTGTTGTATGTACTTTAATACTTACTTTTTTAGCGATGTTCTGTGAAGCATGTCTGGCTGCATTTTTAAACGTATTCTACGTTCCGTTGCTGGCTATCATCTTCTTTATTTTACGTGTATTTACGATTCCCTATAAACCTGTTTCTTTTATAATTTTATAATTGTTATTTTTAGATCTTTTATACCTGAGCTTACATAGCAAAAGATTTCGGCTTCTTTGGTGGGAAGATCAGATTTGGTGCATGTACTCCCACGTTTTGAGAGCTTTGATGTGACGTTGCACTTACTAACACTTTTATACTGATATTGTTATTAAATAAGTGAATATTTTTATTTACTTACATGTCCATGAGTAGCAACAGCATACCCAAATGCAACGCAGACGATTAATAGACTCTGAAATGAATAAAAGCGTTTACAAAAAAATATAAAGATAAGTTTTAGTTATTTTAAAGAGAGGACAGATGTACCAGGAGGATAGTTGCTCCACTAGGAACACCTGACCACGCTTGGCAAGAGGGCAAGTCTATCCTACTCTGTTGTATCTTCTAACTTTAGTTGCTTAAGAGACGCTTATTGTAACGCATCCTTGCATACTTATGTTACTTACGATTAATGAAACTGCCACGTGTGATAATTTTATTAAAGTTTTTTAAACTTCATTTTTTATAAAATACATGTTGTGAGTTTGACCGATTATTTGTTAGGTTATTTTCCAAGGGTCTGCTAATTTTTCACAATACAGACTTGTCCATGTGGCCTTCTATTTGAAGATAGTTGGACCACTTACGAGCAGGAGAGTTGGACCAAAACGTTTAGTTTCAGGATTGCACCCAATAAATATATTCCCAAACAAATACACCTAACAGATGTAACCGACCTCTAGGGAGCTAGGTGATGACGTAGATGCTGTAAAGAATGGTGATATGGGTAATAATGAAGCCGCCAAAGTATTTGGAATACCCAAAACGACTTTTAAACGTCGACTAAAAACAAACAATATGGATAATATAAATCGATTGAATCCAAATTGTTCTTAGAAACTACTGTTAAAGAAAAAATCAGTAGCCATATACAAAACACTACGAAAAGCAGGCTTTGTACCAACCATAACTGAAGTTAAAATCATGGCCTTTAATTTAGCTTACCGATTGAGAATTGCTAATAAATTTGATTTGACATCTTTTACTTAATAAAGAGTTGCTTGGGATGCAAGGTATAGTGATGCGCAACGTATAGCCTCTCCTATCCAAATGTCAACCTCGCCTGCCCGCATGATGATCTTGCTTATGGTCATCCGGTGCATCCTACTAGATAACAAATGAGGCTCTAATGTCCGAGTGATTGCCGGTATAAGCAATCCCCCACTTACTGACCAACGGCTTAGGGTGGATGCGTTGGTGAGTGGTAGGGCATTCTTGTGTCCTGGGGTTGAGAAATCGGCCCCGAAGATGGATGAATCAACAAATAATGGTCAACGGCAGAGGAATGCAGAAGGTAAAGGGGAACCACTGCATAAACGGCTCATAGATCACCCCCAGGAAAATCACCATAGAATTGACACTGCAATTTCAAACCGTTAATATTCATGGAAAGCGGAGGCCAAGATTCGGCAGGAGAGGAGAAACATATTTATACCACGAGGCCTCTCAGGTCGTAAACATGCGAAAACCTCGTGAAGAAGTTCTAAAAATAAAGAAATCTAATTTTAGAATGTGCACATGGAACGTTAGAAGTCTATTTGCGGCTGGGAAACTTGACAACGCAATCCAAGAAATGAAACGAATGAAAATAGACCTACTGGGAATTAGCGAAATGAGATGGCCAGAGTCAGGATCATTTAAAAAGGACGGAAGTGTATTATATTATTTTGGTAACAGCACAGAAGACCCGCATCACAAAAATGGTGTAGGTATATTAGTAACATCAGAACTGAGTAAATATGTGACCAATTTCGTACCAGTCTCGGATAGAATAATATTACTCAAAATAAATACTCAACCATTTAAAACTAACATATTTCAAATCTATGCCTCGACTGCAGATAGAAAATATGATGATGAAGTCGAGAAGTTGTATGATTAGATCCAAGATATCTTACAGAAACTTAATAAACATGAAAATTTATATATTATAGGCGACTTCAATGCAAAAATTATGGAAGGTCGATATGGTCAGACAGGTTCTTATGGTTTAGGACAACCTAACGATCGAGGACAAAGATTGTATGAATTCTGTAAAGAAAACGATATGATCATTGCAAACACCTGATATAAACTACCCAAGCGACCACTATACACTTGGAAAGCCTCATTTGATGATGGCAATAGCCCTGAGTCTTCAAGAAATCAAATAGACTATATACTTGTAAATGAGCGTTTCCGAAATGCCATCAAAAAAGTCACTACATATCCTGGGGCAGATATTGGATCTGATCATTAACCACTCGTAGCAGATATTAAACTAAGGTTAAAACGAATTCAAGAATCATCAGGGGTGACCAAACATGCGAAATCCAAAGAAAAATTACTTTAGCGTGGGTTGCTTTTGGAAAACTGAGAGGCAAACTTAGGGCTAATATACCAATTAGTCTAAAAAGAAAAGTATGTGACCAATGTGTAATACCGGTCATGACTTATGGGGCAGAAACTATGACTCTAACCAAGACTACAGCAGGAATGTAGGACTCACGATGCACGAACAAACTTACAAAATGGAGACCAAGAGCACACAAACGCTCTTGGCTCTAGAATCTATATTTTTGGTACACAATTTATCAAAAACAGAAACAATAAATTTTCCAATTAGATCAGAATCTACTCAACCAGATCCCTCTGGAATTATCGGTAAAATAACCTTACACGTTAGCTTAATGACACAAGTAACACTTATGTCTGTATTGTCAGTTGCAGTAAAGACAGTTCTTAAAAAAAGAGTTCCTAAAGAGAGATTACTACTAAAGACTGCTACTACTACTAAAGAAGGATAACTACTAAAGAAGGATGCACTGATTAAAAAAAGCTTAAAACCTACAAAAAAAAAACAAAAAAGTAAAAGAGAGTCAAGCGAATCGTCAATATCTGAAGAAGATGTTACTCTAAACAACACATCTAAACAGTAAACAACATTACAGCGTGTTGGGTGCAAGAAGTACTATCACCAAACGAGTAAAGTAGATGACTGTTTACAATGTATTTTTTGTAAGAGCTGATTACATGAAACTTGTACTGGCTTAGTTAATCTCTGTAAGAAGTGATAAAAGAAGTCCCTTTCTATTAAAAAAAAGGTTTAGCTTGATCCATCTCTCCTACTCCTAGTGATCCATCTCGTCTCCACAGTGGAGGAGAGATGGACCGATGACATGCCAGTGCATTCTATTTTTTTAGGTATAAGAATTATTATTTCTAGTTTCTACTTATGCCAAGTATAGCCAAACATGTCAACAACTTCATACCAGTGAACGATACAATCCCCTTGTTACAAATAAATACGTCACCAATGAACACTTACATTATGCAAGTCTATGCACCCACAGCAGACCACAGTGATGAGGAAATATCAGAGTTTTACAAACAAATAAGCGATATACTGAGACATAAAGTCTACATAGTCATGAGATATTTCAATGCTAAAATAGGTAATGGAAAAGAAGGGCAACATATTGGTCCATATGGATTAGGAGAGAGAAATCAACGAGGAGAAACAATGAGTATACTTGCAGATGAACATGACTTAATCGTGCTCAACATATTTTACAAACTACCACCTCAACAGAGAAGACGTTATCATAAGAAACCAAAAAGACTATATACTTATTAACAAAAGATATAGAAATAGTTTCAACAGTGTTAAAACCTACCCAGGTGCAAATATTAACTCTGACCACAATCCTTTAGTGGGCATGTATAAAACCAAGTTAAAGAAAACACGAGGAAAAACTGTAAAAAAGAATAACATGAAAAAACTGAAATGTAGTGAAGTAAAAGAAATAGTCAGCAAAACCATAAATAGAAAATTCAAAGAAATCGATAATACAACGAAAAGCTCAGAAGAGAAGATAGAATTCCTCAATAAAACGATCTAAAAAAGTAAGATATGGAGATTTACATGTAATGATGTAGTTACTTATTGATGACAGCTGATGACATATTGCAAAGAAGGCCTTAAAATTCAGATCTGAAGAACAAAAGGAAGGCCACTTAAAAGACAGAGAAACGAAATGGCAGTGGACGCTTACAATTTGCTTAACAAAATTACAAACACATTTTGGGCTGTAGCCTAATTAGAAGAAGAAGTTAATTGCCAATCAACTACAAAACGAAATCAATTAAACGACATTTACTTTCAGTTAATAAATTATTTACGAATACATTCAAGGAGGCATTTTTAAAATTTTTTACTCTTTTCTACACTTAAAAAGACTTTTTTATGCTCTAATCATGGTGTTGACTTTTAATCTGTTTACAAGACTACAAGTTAAAACCTCTCAAAAAGTTTTGTGGTATAAAAATAAATATTTACTTAGCCAATCTTTTACAAACATTAAAATTTCTGAAACAATTAACAAAGAAAACACTATAACTTTACTTACGGCCTTCATGATAGTAGACAATATAAACAAGTTTTAAAACTGAGTTCACAATGTATAATGATACTTTACGCCTAGACCAAGTATCTTATATAGTATAAATATTGTACAATTTCTCCAAAAAACTTTGTTGAAATATCTATAACTCGTAGGCTGTTTCTCAAATTCGTTACATGTTGAAATCATTTGCTTCAGTGAATGTGTAAAATCTAATAATGTCGTTGCATTCATAGATGCGAAGCTGTGAAACGAACTTCACCTTTAAAAATGTGGTTTAGTTACAAAATCTCATATATTTGGGTTTAATATATTTTAGCCGATTAAGATATTTAGTTCAAACAGTAAATTAGCATGAAAATGCTCCTAAAGATTTCGTAAAAATGTATATTTGTTATAAAGGGAAAACAATTATTACTGTATGTAACTTTTGAAAAACAATCACTTCATAAAACAGAAAAAAGAAGTATTCGAACTAAAGCAGGCTGCATCTATTATAATTAATGTTTGATGTTGATATAAAGGCTATAGCGGGATAAGATGGTCAAAATTGCACCATGCTCGATTTAGTTTTGGGCCTGGCCATTCGAAAGGACATAATTAAAAACTCACTCGGTTAAATTTTCAAGTCCTTGGGTGTCTGGGGGTTCGCTATGGGAAAAAACGTATTTAAAGAAAAAAAAAAATTTTTATACGTTGTATTGCTGCAAAAAATCTAAAAAAAATCATGTTTAATAATAGTACTACTTACCTGATTTTTTTCAGATTTTTAGCTTGAAAATTGAGCCAAGGAAAAATATTTGAAATTTTCAGTAATATTTTAGGTTATGTCGGAAATTTTTGGCCAACTTTAAAACAATGTTTTTTTATGGTTTTTTTTTCCCGTTCTTTCGAATGGCATAGGTATTATTTTCATTTTAAACGTAGAAAATGTCTAAAAATCGAAAAAACTGCTTTTTTTTGGCATTTTTCTGAAGCACCCCACCCCTTAACAATAAATTGTATGGGCCTAGGAACAGAACAAAAAAAAAATAAGTATTACATAGAAAACAAAAAATTTATTTATACTGCCATAAGATACAATAATATCAGTTTTTTTAAAATAAAAAAATAATAATAAAATAAACATAAATTAGGTTTTTTAGTGAGATGGATGACTCATAACCTTAACAACATACATCTAAATTAATGATGATTCATATTTTTATATGTATTCTTACCTTTACAATCGAAACAAGCTATTAAAACTATTATTTTTTTCCTACAGCATGCTAAAAAAAAAACGAAAAACCCCGTTTTTTCGGCGTTGTTTTTAAGCTTTTCCTATATAACCTCTAAAGTCAGTGTCTAAATGAATGGTAATTTACATTTTCACATGTATCTTTCCCTTTACAAAATCAGTTATTCAAAGCAATAGTTTTATCTCACAACTTTCTGAAAAACCGAAAAACTCCGTTTTCTCCATGTTTTTACTACATAACCTCAAAAGACTCGTGCATGCGTGCACTCGCAAAAAATGCATCGTGAATTAGAACGCACTTGTACACTCAAAAGTTGTGAAATTAAAAGCTAGCGAATATATCTACATAAATACGTGATAATATATCACAATGTACATGCATTTATACACAAACTCATATCTATATAGTTCTATGTAGGAAAAAATAATAGTTTTAATAGCTTCTTTCGATTGTAAAGGTAAGAATACATATAAAAATATGAATTATCATTAATTTAGATGTATGTTGTTAAGGTTATGAGTCATCCATCTCACTAAAAAACCTAATTTATGTTTATTTTATTAATATTTTTTTATTTTATAAAAACTGATATTATTGTATCTTAGGGCAGTATAAATAATTTTTTTGTTATCTATGTAATACTTATTTTTTTTTGTTTTGTTTCTAGGCCCATACAATTTATTGTTAAGGGGTGGGGGTGCTTCGGAAAAATGCCAGAAAAGCAGTTTTTCGATTTTTAGGCATTTTCCACGTTGAAAATGATAATAATACCTATGCCATTCGAAAGAACAGGCAAAAACCCATAAAAAACATTGTTTTAAAGTTGCCAAAAATTTCCGACATAACCTAAAATATTACTAAAAATTTCAAATATTTTTCCTTGGCTCAATTTTCAAGCTAAAAATCTGAAAAAAATCAGGTGGTAATGTATTATTAAACTACGCTTTTATGAGTTTTTTCAGATTTTTTGCAGCAATACAGCGTCTAAAAAAATTTTTTTTTCTTTAAATACGTTTTTTTTCCATAGCGAACCCCCAGAGGCACCTAAGGACTTGAAAATTTAACTGAGTGAGTTTTTACGTATGTCCTTTTGAATGGCCAGGCCCAAAACTAAATCGAGCATGGTGCAATTTTGACCATCTTATCCCGCTATAGCCTTTAAGACAAGGTCTTGCAATATAATAATATTTGCAAGTTAGCTCTATAAGTAGTCAAATAAAAGTATTGAGAATTCATAAAGGAAGTTATTTTAACAAAGGCGCGCGCACGAAGTGAAAACCATTTGGTTTTCACCTCTGGCTGCGTTAAGTAGTTGAGTTACTGTGACCAAATGCCCATCTTGATAGTTAGTATTCGCCTCTGGTTGCGTTGAGTAACTGAGTTACCGTTGCTAACTATCCATCTTCTTGTCTTTTGATTTCTTTTTCTTTTTTCTTTGTTCTCCTGAAGAAGCTACATACAATTGTAGCGAAACGTCGAGATGAACCCAATTTTTTATCACTCACAAATCACACGGTCCAAACCCGGAAGACGAATAAATTATAATTCTGACTCTGGCCGTGGAAGCCTACGATTTTATCAAATTCTACTCTTTTATTTTTACTGTAAAGTTCTTCTAGATCAATTTTAATTTGGCATAGTATTGGTTGGTTTGGGTAAACCCTTAATATTCCTTGTACTGCGCTTAAAGAATCCGTGAAAATGACTGCTTCCAATTTGGGCTGGTTTGATATATGTTGTAGAGCTTTAGATATGGCATACAATTCGGCGGAATATATGGAGTAAGATGGACACACGAAACAAGACAGAATTAATGTTGATAATCTGCGCATTGAAACCGTTGCGAGAGAGTATAGGAGACAAATGGACGAAGAAATGGAGAGCCTGGAGGTGGGGGAAAACGTAGAGGAACTGTGGACAAAATGTAAAAACATAATAACTGAGAAAGCAACAAAAATATTGGGGAAAACCAAACCAGTTAAAGAAAACGAATGGTTTGACAAGGAGTGCCAAGAAGCAACAGATAACAAAAACAGGGCATACCTAAAGACAAATCAAGCTGGATGCACAAGAAGAGCAAAGGAAGAATACCGGATACTAAGAAGAGAAGAAAAACGATTACATAGAAGAAAAAAAAGACAATTTGAGCAAAAGCAATTGGAAAGCACAGAATTTCTAAGAAATCAAAATGAAACTCGAAAGTTCTACAGACATCTAAACAAAATGCGCAAAGAGTTTAAGCCAAGAATAAGGAGCTGTAAGGATGTAGAAGGAGACATCCTAAATGATACGGCCTCAATCCTAAACAGATGGGTTGAATTTTTCGATGGAAAATTTAATGGCCATCATATCGAAGAAGCAGATAACACCCTAGCAAATCGAAATGATTGGAATCCTTTCAACCCAAACGAAAGACCACCTACCATCGAAAACGTTGCCCAAGCCATTAAAAAGCTTAAAAATAATAAATCACCAGGAGTTGATCAAATTTGCAGTGAGCTCTACAAGAATGGTGGCGATGCCCTACTACAGACACTGCATAAGCTTTTACTTCTTGTTTGGCATAATGAAACCATGCCTTGTGAATGGTTTCAAGGCGTGATATGCCCGTTACATAAAAAAGGTGACCAGCTCCAGTGTGACAACTATAGAGGTATAACTCTGTTAACAACTGCTTACAAAATACTAGCAAATATTCTCTACGAAAGGTTGCAAGTTTACACAGTGGGCATAGTTGGTAAATATCAAGTTGGATTCACTCCAGAAAAATCAACAATTGACCAGATTCATTCAATAAGACAGATTCTCGAGAAAACATTAGAATTCAATATTGAAACCCATCACCTATTCGTCGATTTCAAGGCAGCATACGACAGTATCAAGAGAACAGTGCTATACCAATCAATGCATGAGTTTGGTATACCAGAGAAACTTATCCGACTAACGAGAATGACAATGTCTAACTTAGAAGCCACTGTTAGAATACAGGGAGAGAGTTCTAGATCCTTTGAGATAAAGGATGGACTCGGACAAGAAGATGCTCTGGCTTGCCTCCTATTTAATATTGCCTTGGAAAAGGCAGTCCGAGATACACGAATTAGGGACGGCGGTACTATTTACAATAGATCGATACAAGTCTTAGCATATGCTGATGACATTGACATAATAGGGCGTAGCAAGCGAGATGTTGAGCAATATCTCCTAGAATTGGAAACAGCGGCGAAACAGGTCGGTCTAGTCATCAACGAAGACAAAACCAAGTACATGTTGGTTACAAAGGATCCGATAGCAAATGAGGAACGAGAAACAGTCTTTGGAAGTCATACCTTTGAACGTGTTGACAACTTCACATACCTTGGGTCGCTATTGACTGCTACCAATAAAACAAGCGAAGAAATCAAAAGACGAATAAATCTTACAAATAGGGCATACTATGGACTCCAAAAGCATTTCCACTCAAGAAACATTCAAAGAAGAACTAAAATTATTATATACAAAACATTGCTGAGGCCGGTCCTCACATATGGAGCAGAAACATGGACAATAACGCAGAAAGATGAAAGACTTTTGGGAATATTTGAGCGTAAAATACTCCGCAAAATATTTGGAGCTGTAAACGACCAAGGGCAGTGGCGCAGAAGATATAATTTTGAATTGTATCAGCTCTTTGATGAGCCAGATGTCATAACGTTCATTAAAACACAGCGACTTAGATGGGCTGGACACATAATACGAATGCCAGAAAATACCATTGCTAAAAAGCTAACCACAGGA